CATACTTTTTCCAATAGCATACAAATGTGAGGACACAATAATATACAGTACTAAACAGGTCATAAACCTGTCTCTTATACACATCTACTTTGAATTAAATTGATCGTTGATGGCGTTGTGCTAGGTGGTTATTGATAAAATTGTAATAACAAGAGACTTTACTTGGATTACTTCCAAGTCAACACCATACGAAAATAACGCAAATGTAAAATAAATGATCGCAGCATTTATACTTCAATTTGTTCTGCATACGTATTCTTCTTTTCATGAACTGATGAATCCTAAGGAGGAAAGAGGGTCCAGGGGTCCTCCCCCGGGAAAATTTTGAAAATTTCGATCCTTTCTTGCATTTCTTTCCGATCATACAAAAGTCTCCATATAGACATATTTTCAGCCACAAAGTGGGGGAGGGGGAAACGTATAACATTACAAAAACAAAATATGTAATTGCACAGACACAGTATAGTTGAGCAGCAAAGCGAAACCACTGCTGTTGTTATGACCAACTCCCTGATCAGTCTAGTAGTAGAGTATCAGATCTTAAATTTAAAACTCAGTAGTCGGTAGTACGCTACTCCCGGACGCATGCCTCCCGGACGGACCAAACGAACGCGAATTTCGCCTCCAGAGGATAGGACCGGACAGGATTGAGTACCTGGCCAAAACCATTTTCAATGTATGGTAAAAACAAATAAATAAAACCACAGAAAGGCAGCTGCAGTGTGCGCATAGCATAGGATTTATTATATACTCAATCAATGGACGAATTCATTTTTATTATGGTTGAATTCAGATTAAAGTTTTTTTTTCTTCTGAGGTCAAAATTATGCTAAATTATGCTAAATTTGTCTAAAATTATGCCAGTACATATGCTAGATGCTAAATGGGTCTAAATTAGTCACGTGACGCCCATCGCTAAAGCCCTCTTCAATGGCGCTGTGGGAATTGGATCACTTCCAAATTCAACACGCAAATAACGCAAATGCATAAGACATGATAATAATACAATTCTCTTATAGTTGTAGATAAAATAAAATCAACATAATACGAACATTACTCAAAAAGAGAAATTATAATACATACTTTTTCCAATAGCATAAAAATGTGAGGACACAATAATATACAGTACTAAACAGGTCATAAACACTGTATATATGCTTCTTTCACTAGTGGTGTGGTGTAGTTTATGTCGGAGCCGGAGGTTTTTCAAATGACAACAGAACCAAAACCGGAATGCTCCAGTTTCTTCATTCTTGTAGGCTTAATATTTTGTACATTATTATAATATTAACTGAGTTCTCTCCTGCCAAGGTACATACAATACATTATTATATCATGCACACTCTTCATATAATATTAAAGTGAATGTGATGGCAGGCCCGTATCCAGGGGGTTGCAGTGCAGTATGGCATGGCCCCCGTCGGGGAGAGCTCCCCCACTATCGGGGAGAAAAACCACAACTCGCCGAAGAAAAATTATGTGTGCTACATATTAGTTTACTGAAAATCGATTAAATGAACATTTGAAACCCCTAAATTGTCAAATTTTTCAGGTGCTTCGACCACCAGGACCGCTTTCGAAATATTTTCCCGACCACACTTACTTTGTGGGTGTGGTCTAGAAAATATGTGATTATGGCACTTCTAGATGGCCAGAAATTGCACTTACAGGCATAACATTTGAATATAATTTTCTTACCTCATACCTCCATTAAAAAAAAAAAAAAATTTTAAGGAAGCCCGGTCCCTCTTGAATCCGCCACTGGGTACTTTCCCAGATGGAAGATGTATACCGCCTCAGCCCCACCATGGTTGGGGCTGAGACGAGAAAATTCGTGATTATGGCACCTCTAGATGGCCGAAAAATGCACTCTCAGACTTAAAATTTAAATATAATTTTCTTTATCGCCATTAAAAAAAATGAACAATTTAGGCCCCCACCCTTGAATCCACCACTGATTTCCGAACAAACAATCAATGAATTAATTACCATGAAGGCTAATCTATGGGTATTCACTTTTCCCCCGATGGATAAAAATTACCCTTCTATAGTAGCCCGGAAATGATACTCCAACTGTGGCGGGTCCAGGAATCGAAATAGGCGCAAATGGAGTGGCCACCCACCTCAGCCCCACTGCGGTAGTGGCTGCGGTAAAATAAAAATATGATTATGGCACCTCTAGATGGCCGGAAATGGCACATTCAGATTAAAAGTTGAATACAAATTTGTTTGTTTTTTTCAAATTAAAAAAAAAATTTTTTTTTTAATAGGATGTTGGGGGCCCGTGCTTACTGGGCTCCCCTTGAATCCGCCACTGTTCAATATAACACTTGACATGACAGGGTGTACGCTAAATCTGTCAGATGAAGAAATCTTATAGCCTATCATTTTGTTTCACAAATACTAATTCCTAATGTCAAGTGAAAGATGTTTTTATTCGAAAGATTTTTTTTTTATTCAATATCAGTATTTACAAGCTACAGTATAACGCATTAACTACAAAATACTATAAATTTTGTAGTTAACCTTCAGAGAACTTTATTTTAATAAATGGCCTAATTAAGTATTTTATTGTTTTCGTTGGATGGAATTTAAGTATGGCCCAATTATAACATAAGCCAATCACAAACTTCTTCATGGTTAACATAAAGAGAACTAGAGCGTCGGAGGGTGCCTACCTCCACCCTATGCATAAATGCAGAATTCGTTCAAGGTGGGCGATTCTATTTTCTTCATGTTCGTACGTAGTTAATCAACATCTGGTTGCTGAACTCAAAAAGGGAAATTGTAATGTTCGTTCGAAAATGAAAAAAGAAAATCTATATTGGACAATAATAATAATAGGTCGATTTATAAGGCGCAAATAATAATGTTTTTATCACTGGTGCTGGGAACAGTCACAAAAGAGGGGAGGTGGCAGGCACCCAGTTGAAAAAGTGGGGGGATAACCCTCCTCTCCCCACCCCCTTCCCCGCTTCCGCCGCTGTTGGCTTAAGTATAGCCAATTACCTGGTAACTGGGGATTGCGAAGGGCCCCATTGAGGTCCAGGGACCATGTCAGCCCCAGAAAAAAAAATTACGGTTTAGAATAAACATGTAAAACATTTTGATTGTAATGTTTAAATGAAATTAAGTTTGGAATTTGTTATTTAATCTAATCATTAATTGTTGTTTTGCATCGCACTGGAATTCTTGATTTTTTCTAGTGACGTGCGTGAAAATCGGTACTAGTATTCTTCCTCCCTCGTCCTACAAGCGAAGAGGTCGTCGAACAAAATGTATCAATTTTCCAATCCTATCAAAGGTATTGTGATGTCAATCCCTATATACTGTTGTCTAAAAGTATGATTTGAAGCCCACTTTTATCCCCGAGACCCCTAAACAACGTGGGCGTTCTTTCACTAAACCGTCGGTAGTTACTGCATGCATATTTGATTAGTTAACCTTTATTAACAATTTTAAATTATAATGTGCAGTATGATATAAAGATAAATATTACCAATCCTTTATGAATACATTGCTTTATATTTTTGTAAGAGGGCGGGGCCCTAAAGGTTGGGGTGCCTGGAGATCGGGGGGCCATGGTTCAATGAACCGCCAGAATCTGTGGTAGAACAGTATCGCACTACAAGCGATTTGTCTGTATTGTTACACATTTTTTTTTGGAAACTAAACATAACTAATTGTTACAGAGCTAAGTGTCTGCAGTTACATACGACTTCCACTGCATGTTTACAAAATCATCTCTTGAAGTACAGATAATTTTTTACAGTGAACATTGCTGGCGCACAAAGTGTTTTGTACCAATACATAAATTGCTGTACTTGTATCTGTGTTATCACAAAGTTTTGGTTGTATTACTAAAAAAGCGTATGTACGTGTATGGAGGTCACGCAGAACATAATTTCTACATATGAACTCTCCATACCTACATACGACTTGAAACTGTTTACTAAACATTTTGTTGCACAAGTATACACAACACTAGTGTAACAGCATGTCTGTCACATTATAAGTGATTTGTTTCTACAGAATCTTTTGTAACTGAACATAACTAACTGTTGCTTTGCAGTTATATACGATTTCTACTGTATGTTTAGAGAATCATCTGTTGAAGTACAGATACGTTTTACAGTGTTACGCTTAACTTCCTTATTGATTCATACATCTATGGAATTATTTTTATTTTGATAAGAAAAACGTTACTTTTTGTTTACTAAGAAATATTTAGTTTGGATGAAAGTTAATTTATCCAGGATGTTAATTGTATCGTAAATTCTTAAACTTTGAAACTCCAGAATGATTTAGTTTGATGAAGGTACATTTATCCAGGATGTTATTTGTATAACATTCTTAATTTTGAAACTAAATTTCCAGCCTTTCAAAGCGTAAGAATTTTATACAAAGAATTATGTATTTAACTATATCACATATATATTTATTATTCTACAGTACATATAAGCAAAGAACTTAAATAGCTCTTTATTATCTTTGATATACAGTAAGGTATACAAAGGTACAACCATGGAGGTATCAATCATACCTCCAATGGTACAATCGTATCTCAGAATTTTAATTTTTACTAGAGGGCGCGATTGCATAAATAAACAAACTCTACGACAGCGAAAAAAAATAGTCTTGATACGGTGTCAAAATCTGGTGGTGTGCACTGCAAACTTGTATGTATTTGTTCTGTAAAACCATGAATCGGATTGACATGAAGGATAAAACCCATTAAGGTAAATAATAATAACGGGATAGTGCAATCCAGGAGACATTTTCTGTGATTTTAATAACGATCAATTTAGTTAAGATACTATAAAAAGCATTATTGTTTGTTAAGTCTCTAGGCCTAGGCTAGACTTGGCCAGATAGGCCTAGAGTAGGCCTATACTGTAGGTAGGCTAGTTCCGCCTATAGAATTCGGCCATAGGCCTACCTAAATCTGGACATAGGAGGAGGCCTAGCCAGTCGGCAGGTCCAGGCGACACCTCGCTCGGGCACAGCAGGCGGCATACAGTATCTAGGACTATTTTATATTTGTACTGTAGCAGCACCTTTCTAGTGCCTAAGTAAACTCCTGACTGCGTTCTCATAAATTCTAGCCCTAGGCTTACTTAATCTTATGGGAAAATCAGAAACTGCTCTTAGCCTAACTCTACTAATTACGCCTAGGCCACTAGAGAGGGCTTTACAGTAGTTACACCCGGGTTCCACACTTCTTGTTTGTATTTGTGATAACCGACAAGGGTGTTGTTATAGTGTCTTTAACAGGCAGTAAAATAATCGCTATTTAGGGATAGTGCCTATCACTCAGTTGTAAAACAATTTCTTTTGTAAATCTATCTGTAGTGAACGTGATTGTATGTTGTTTTTATTTAAATGGACTTGTTTCTGAAATACAGTTGATTGATTGATTGATTTAAAAATGTTTTATGACAGGTTGTGAATGAATGAACTATGCCTCTATCATTATCAGATGATACAGATGAAGTAGGGGAATACACACGTGAGAATGGACAATTTCAGGCAGATGAGGATGATGTCACCAACGAGTTACAGATTTCAAGTGATTTATGCACTGATTGTGTATCGGTGAGGATTAAATGCATAATATTAAGTCATTGGTCTCAACTTTGCCAGCGAGTTGCCAGTGTCTGTTGGAAATAGGGACTCCTGCACTCATGCAAGCAAAAATCTCCAGTCAATCTAGACATTCAGCAGATGACGTTGTCTAGCGCTCACTGAGAACATAGTGTTAAAAGATGCACTTTCCCTCATTTCATGGCTGAAAAAAAATTGTCCCATTAATGAAGGTGGGAGAGGGTGGGGGGTGGTGTCCTACTAAAGGAGTCTGTTCTACTGTGTTTACTCTGATTAAACAACTATGGATTGGCCTAACGTCACAAAGAAGTGACTTGAGTTTTGAACTTATTGATCAATGGTAAAGCCAAACATAGTAGATTTGCCATACTTTCTTGCCTGTAGTTCACATGAGTTGTGAATGGTTAGCAAGTAAATCAATAAAAAAATAAAGGGCAATAACTCCTAAAAAAAAAGAGATATTTTAAGATTTTGTTTGTTTTGTTTTTAAACTAATTAGTGAATCCTCCATTTTTTTTTTATTATGTTATTAGTATTTACCATTTGAAATTTTGATCATGTTATAAAAAAGAGGTTGATTGTATTTGGCATGATACCTTTCTGTCTCGGGTTTTAACTTAGCACAACCTACCAGGTGAAATTTTTATGATCTTCAATAGCATGTGAATCATCAATCAGCATTCTTACTTTGTGGCTTAACTCAATGAATCTTGTTCCTTACTTAAATCTCTGTGTATTTATAGAGTCCTCCAACTTTAAGCCTGTCCTTTATGCCTTTACTAATGATTAAATTTGATTACCTTTTGAAAAGGGGTGCTGTTAAATTGTTATCTTTTGTATGTACACTAATGTACAGTATATGTGTGTGAAATTATTTAAGATATTTTTTAAAAATTGTTTATAAAAGCTACTTATAAGAGTCAATTGTACATTGGAATAATTACCCTGGTGACCAAAAAGTATTTGGCAGCAGGCCCCGGTTAGTAACCAGATTCAATGCGAAGGGGACTTCCTAGCCCAAGTTTAACTCAGAAGTGTATCTTAATAAACAAAGTTATGATGAAGTACTACTAATACCCTTGTTAAACTGCCTTGTTAAGCTGGTAAAAAAGGGGTTCGTCCAAACCCCCATGCAGTTGCGGCGCCAGTGTGGGGGGGGGGGGGGGCGGCAAGGTAAAATTATAGGGGAGAAATATGCTGGGGTGGCCCGAAGTGGGTGTGGTCGGGCGTCGCTCAAAATGTGTTGAAAGTGGGTCAAGGGGTGCGAGCCCCTGAAAATATAACAATTTAGGGGTTTCATATGCTTATTCAATCGATTTTACATAATAATCTACTAATATGTAGAAAATACATATTTACACGAATTGTGGTTTTTCTTCTTTTTTGAGGGGAAAAACTTAAGGCAAGAAAATTATCTGGGGGAATTCCCCCTGCCCCACTCTGGCACCGCCTCTGGCGCCGCCACTGCCCCCTGGTTACAGGGATTGGGCAGCTGCTATGAACTGCAACTTAAACTACTATGTAAAATAAATTGATAGTTTTCATAAGGTGAAGTGTGTTGAAAATTATATCGTTCTGTTATTCCTACCTAGTTGCTAAAAGAGTTTAATTCCGAAACGGCGAGGTACAGAAACCTGGTGATCGCTCTTGGAGGGTCTAGTGATTCAGAATTCCTTAGGGATGAGCTGAAGAAGACGAGACGAAAAGCAAGTGAGCTAGCCCAGAAGAGTAAGGAGGAGCTGATGCCTCACATGCAAGCGTAAGTTCTGCCTAAAGTCAAATCCAAATCTTTTTGGATGAAAATACTCAATATAGTTTACTTATCAGTAGCTTATTTTAATTTTCGTTGAACGGCTATGCTTGATACAATTATAACGTTATGTTCCATTTTGAGCACTGTTATTATTATTTATCTGTTTGTTTATTATTGTGTTTACGATGCTACACAGCAAACCTAATTTGAATAAACCTAGTTAATTGTATACTGTATTTAAAGTTTGCTTTCTTACATTAATAATAATAATAATGATAATAATATGTTGAATTATAAGGCACAAATAAACTAATAGGTTACTTCTATATAAATTTGATTTATTTGTTTGTATTTTCCACTTTGGAATCCAGTTCATATGTATGAAAGTGTATTTCAGAATGAATGAATGAATATTCTATTGTAGGCCTAATTGTAAAAACCAAAGGATCCACTGATTATTCTCAAATAGAATATGAATATATTGACTCTGAGGAATGAACAAATGTGGAGGCTGTAATTAATTCTACGTTTCGTTCTTTATTAAATAAGTAATAAATAAGTAATAAGTAATAAAAAAAGAACAAAACGTGAGAATGAATTATGGCCTCACCTTTGTCATTCTTTGTTAAATAATTAATCATTCCATACTAATTTAGGTTATGCATACGTTGAATAGCATGCTGAATACAATACTACTAGCTACTAATACTTGTACTACTAATAATAATAATAATAATAATAACACTGAGCGAGTTACAGTTCTTCATTGATGTAGCAACTTCATACATAATTGGACAAAGCATTCTAGCCTGTTGATAATCATCGAGCTCTAATAAACAATAATCAGAACAAAAACCTATTCCATTCAAAGACCAAATGAAAGCTTATAATGTGATCTACCCAAATATAATATAAATTCAATTTCTGAATTTCTAACCATGAGACTCATTTTGTGGCGAGACCACAAATTGGTCAAAATCATTAAAAAAAAATGAAGAAAATAAGGAAAATTATAATTAAGTTTAGGTGTGAGAGTGTCATTTCCGGCCATCTAGAGGTGCCATAATCATAATTTTTTTGGTCTAGACTCTCCATCTGGGCTACCTCTATTTTGAATTCCTGGATCCGCCACTGAATAATTGCTAACCTAAATTAACTTATCTTTAAATGAGTATGTGCTGAGTGCAATATTCACTTTAAAGATTAAATTCATGATTTACTTTATTATTACTTTTTATTATTTATATGTCTTTAATTAATAATTAGAACAAGAAAAAAAGAGTCGACCAAGACAGATATATAGCAATAATGTTCTTACAGTAATAAGCATAGTAATTAAATTGGTTTTTTTTCCATGATCTGAACTATGTTCCAGCCCTATTTATTTTATAATGACCAAAAATGTGATGACCTAATTAGAATGGTGGCTCTATTATAAACTGCTTTTCTCACATTTAGTAGAATAATCTTGAAAACCTAATCCTGGTCATCTTATGATTGATTGACTGGGAATCGGCACACATAGTTGTGCTATTATGCTTACTGGTAGGATAGACCTTGAGTCCTACTTTAGATAAAGACATCACATTTTGAAATGGTTGCATTTAAAAAAATTGCATTTGTTGTATAATCTGTGATGCCACTTAATTTAATGACTCCTCCTATGCGATTGATTTACTCTAAAGGTCATCATACCACCCTTTGAACAAAGCTGTTTTAATACTCATGCATTCATTTTACTTGTTGCTTAAAAAATAAATTAAAATTTCTCCAGCTTTATTTAAGATAAGATAATCTTCATTGTTATAATTAGCACAAATTTTATTTTATATTTCTATGTACTGTAATTATTAGAACATTAATACTTTTATACAGTACCTGTATATTCTGTTTGATACTATTTTATTAGATTTATTGTTATTCAAAATCCCTACTAAAATTGAAGGTAGGATAAATCACTTTACTTATAAATATGTCACTCAGATGGCACCTATCCATAATTTACTGTACTATAATTAATATTTCTATTATATATTTTTCTAAAATAATATCTTTACCCAAATTTGGAGGGATTTAAACAAAAATATTTCACACAATAATATATATATATATATATATTTGGCTCTGTAATCATTAGTGGTCGTGGGACTAGTTTGGGCCCTACCTAAGCTGGTCGAACGTTTCGTTTGGGTCTGTACCCTAGCTGCACTGATGATGCCTGGAAGGCCGAAACGGATCCGTCTGCAGATATTGGGATTCCTTCCAGTGGATGCTTAGTTTATTTCGTCATTCTAATCGGAT